AGACAATATGTGCCCATCTCTCTCATTTTCTACATGTTCATCTTACAGCTGTCATATACATTTGCCAAAAATGCACTCAGAACTACAGCCAGTCAATAGAACCTGTATTATATATCATTGCTATAATATGCAAGCCTCTATGAACAATTAGGCTGTAGGCATCTCAGAATTAGAGGTTACTGTTGACATTCATCTGTGCCTCAGTTTCCCATCAGTAAAATGAGGTTGATACTGTTTCACATCATAGAGATGTTTTGAAAATTAACTATTTTTTTCTGTAGCAGCTCTACAATAGTGATGAGCACCTTTTAAAATGCCCACACACCAAATGCCCTGATGGAAAATATGTAGGAGAGACCAAACAACAACTGCACACCAGAACGAACGCACACCGGAAATCTATCAAAGACAGAAATACCCAATTACCGGTGGGGGCACATTTCTCACGGGAGGGCCACTCTCTCTCCAATCTCTCAGTCCTGATCCTCAAGGGAAACTTACACAACACTTCCCAGAGACGAGCCTATGAGCTCCATTTCATCAACCTCCTGGATACTAGAGATCATGGACTAAACATAGACATTGGATTTTTGACACATTATAATCTGCCTGGCAACTGACTCCCCAGCCCAGCCCAGCCCAGCCCCTGGCTTCTTTACTTTTCATTCCATTCAGGAAGAGCACGCACCAACTGCTGAAACTTCCTTAGCCTGACGAAGGGTTTTTGAACCCGAAAGCTTGCTTAATAACTATTCTCCAACTATTTGGGTTGGTCTAATAAAAGATATCAAATTCACCCAAGGAACCTTGTCTGCCTATGTCCTTAGACCAACACGGCTACAACCTACACCCCTGCACACATTTGAATGTTATTTATTCTACACAGGTTATTAATCATCCACATCACTAGCACTTGATCCCCTTTTAATGTGGCATTATCAAAGATACTAACTTATATCAAAGGTGGTTCCTTCTCTCATCTTCTCACCAGGAGCAAATTTGTCTGCACAGCATAGTATTTGTTTTGCCAGGAGTTGGGTTTTGAGCAGGTTTAAGTATGCCTTATTCTTGAAGCAGAAGGTGGGATGTTTGCAATTGACCTTAATTACCATGACAGATCATTCCAGAATTTCAAATTGAGTACCAAAAAGGATATTGTCTCCTGGACAATTAGGTTTATCTTTAGAAATTTCCACTGTGCCAGAAAAGTGGAGTTGCTACCTTCAGTCTATGTGGTAGAGCTTTAGGGAGTTGTTTTAGATATGCTGAAGATGTAGATACACAATTACTACAGAGTAAGTTGATTTTACTCCATAGTAAAAGTGGGACATGCACACGATGCACAGCCTTACTCTGGAATGGAGGGGGAGGGGGAGCGGATGCAGGGAGGACTTTACACTGGGGTAGTTTACCAGAGAATAGGTGCTGTGTGTCCAGTCTCATAGTCAACTGCACACTTTGCTCAGTGCAAACAGGTTATTACCTACTCCCCTGCTTCCTAGAGATGAGGAACTATAACTTGCATCTGTTTACTCTTCTGGCACACACATGTCTCATTGTATAATATAGAAGAACTTAATTATTCCTTTGAGTAATCTGCATTACTATTATGGTGGATCAGCCTTGCACTTGTAGGTAGAAACTTACTACGGCATAAACAGTGACAGAAACTGAAGGTTCTCTCTAGGCAATGCCCATGATAAGACATACGTGAAACAGATGTGCAAAGCTATTTTACTTTTACATCTAGTCAGCGAACAGGAAGAGCAGGCTGGCTAGTTATTACATGCAGTGAAGCAGTGAAGCAGTTCACCTCCAATTCATTTGAAATTGGTGACACCATGCACCAGTACTTGGCTCAGTGTCAAAGGGGATGTACTTGCTCCACAGTTTTTCCATGCCTTGGGTTGCAAAATTGGTTAATTCAGCCAGTTAATTCCCTTTCCACTGATTAAAAGTGGTTTCTATATTGTTCAGGGAAAATCTTCTGTATTAGCTTACAACATGGTGATAATTGATGAAAAGAAAAAATGTTATTTCACATGAGTAAAACTTAATCTCTTAGTAGTCCTTGAATGAAAATTTAACTGTTGCTTTATAAATTAACTTAGATTTTTGTTTTCAGCCACTTGCACTAGTATAGTGCCAAGTCCTCAGAATATTTTTTATAACAGGAAAACCTTCATGGTTTTAAGACTTGATTAGATTAAACTAATTTAGTTCAATTTTTACAGTCAACTAAAATCTACATAGGCCAAACCTGAACTGTTCCAGCCCAAAAGAGAAAAGGTTTAAGGGAGTGAAGACTGGTGTTGGAAAGTAAGTCACTTATCAGCTTGTCACAGAAGTGTATGTGTAAAACTTGCAGAAAAATATTTTTTTTTTACAATTTCTTAGTTGGTCTAATAAAAGGTATCATCTCTGAACCAGGAGTTCTAGAGTTTTGCATTTCTTTGTGTCTCAGACCAACATGGCTACCAGATACATCCCTGAGACATGGAAGATGCCGAATTTTAGCCAATTTTGTATTTAAACGTCATTGCTGAACAAGAAAGATTTCTACACCTCCCTGCCTGTCTGCCATCTGACACCACCAAGGAAAGAATCCTGCCTTATCTGCACATCAAAGAGCAATTCAAAGACACTCTCATGGACCCAGAGGAACAGACTTCCACCTTCAGCTTCCTCTGCAAAAATGAAGTTATTTTCTACATATGGGGACTTTTTATCATCTTTATTTTCCCTGAGCCTGAGGAGAAGGGCATTCATGCCCACAAGCTTGCAGAAAAAGATAATTTTTTTGTGATTTCTTAGTTGGTCTAATAAAAGGTATCATCTCTGAACCAAGAGTTCTAGTTTTGCAATTTTTTGTATAAAACTTAGACTCATGTTACAAGCAAACTTAAGTAGATGTTGTCTCATAGTTAAGTCATATATAGGTAACAACAGGCAATATCATATAGTAGGTATTTTTCTTAATTTCTCTGAATCACCACAAGTGATTAAATGTGTAGGGCAAAAATTCCTTTTCTGAAGGAAAAAAGTGAAGAGATGCAAAATCTAATAAGCATGTATTAAAATCCAGCAGAAAATTTCATTGTTTTTTACAATGTAAATGCAATTATGTTCAATGCATATATTCTTCAGTTACAGAATGTCATCTTATTAAAAAATTTTAAAAAATATTTCCACTTTGGCAGTTTAGAAGTTGTACCTTCTCATTCTCTATTATTACAAAAGACAGATTCTGAAAAATTTAATAAATGAGTTTTTTTGGCATTTCCCATGTAAATTCTTCTCTTCCAAAGTGTCCATAACATGCAGTCTGTTGATAGATTGGCCTCTTCAAATCCAGTTCCCTTAATAAAAAGGAAAAAGAAAATTTATTTTTAAGACTAGGCCCATATGTAATGCATTGTCTGTCTTTGTGGAGTAATATGTTTACAATTATACCCCTTAATCAAGGGGCAGATTTTAATTGACCATGCAGACCAGGGGTGGATCCAGGGGGTGCAGTTGTACGAGCCCTTCACCTTTTCTTACTCCACTCTAACTTCGAAACCAACTGCTTTTGGCAGTGACAACAGCATCCTATCCAGGAACCAGTGAGGGAATCAATTGACTTCATGGCTCATTATCGTCTCCCTGATTCCTGCTAATCTCTCTACTCCACACCTATTAATGATCCTCTCACCTTTTTAATAGTCATGATATTCCACTATTCAAACTATCCTTTCTTCTGCAGTTCTGCAGTCTGTAATGTTTTAGCTCCAGCTAAAAACCTGAACTCAGGTGTGCTAGTATGAACTCAGATGTAGAAATGACTGTCAGTGAAGTATTGGAAGCATTCCCAAAGATGCTCAAAGGCTAAAATTTGTTTTACAAAACTGAATTAGACATGTACATCTAATGATAATGACTATAGGACTAATAAAATAATATATTTTGATTATTTTTGCTTTGTTTGCTGTGTTTTTTAAAGTGTTTATGGTTTAGCACATCTAGGACCAATAATATACTGGGATTTAAATCTTCTCTCTGAAGGGCCTTGTTCAATTGTAAAACCTGATCCAAAGACCACATAAATAAATAGGAAAAAATCCTATTCATTTGAACAGGCTTTGGAAAGGGCCCTGATTTTTGAAGAGGATACAACATAAAGACTGAGCAACAAGGAAGAAAGATTCAAAAGACTGATTCCTCATTGATAGGAATGGATGTCAGTGCTGTTCAAGAGAGTTAAAAAGGCTTGTGAGAAAAGAAAAAAGTTAACTTGGATTTCTAGATTGACAACATTACTGCTATCACCTTTGATCCTCATCTCTCCTCCCCTTCTTTTACTTATTATGATAGTTTTGTCCAGTTCTTCAAGAAAGGGCGGGGGAATATATTGGGTCCTTGAAAAATATAGCATTAATTCAAACTTGGAAAATGATCTGGGTATTATAACAGAAATCAGTGGTGTCATTTGCCAATAAACAACTATCCTGGAAAAATCAAATAAGAATTCTGGTTGTACTAGCAAACTGACTATTCTGTGTAATGTGCCTATGGAAGTGCAGACTAGGGATCCTTGTCACTACCATGGGAAGGATTTTACTTTGGAGATATAACAAAAAATGCCAACCTGGATCTAAAAAAATGTCAACTGTCAGAAAATCAAGAAGGGTCCTTGTTTTAAAAGGAAGTACATAAGGGTTGATCTTGCTCAATAGATCTGCTAACTATGTGAATTCAAAGTTAAATGTTGATTGAAACAGAACAAGATTTAGACAGATTGGTTGAATGTTTCTTACCTAAATGCTTAACTTGTTATAGTTTTGCTACAGGTAGACAGAAACTTTAATCAGACTATTTAGAGGGGAAAACATTTACTACTTCTGTTATATGTTGAGCTTTTCTTCAGAGGCAGTATGCATGAAATTCCAGACACTGTTTATTTATAGTCCTCTTCAGACTGGAATCATGAAAAGTGCCAGATTTAAAATAAAAACAAATAATTAAAGCAATGTTTTCAAAATTATGGTAAGGATTGCTGAAGTTTATACTAGCACTTCAGACAGATAAGGGAATTATTTTAAGGTAGCATAAACATAAATCTAAGGGTGCTGATGGACATGCAGCTTCACGCTGTAACTCATGGCACTTTGCAGGAAGTGCCATGAGTTACAGGGCTCCCTGTCACCCAACAGATATTTGCTGTTGGGTCTGGGGGTTGTAGGATTGAGCTCCAGTTTGGAGAGGCTGCATATCTGCAGCCGCTCTCCCTTGGCCCCACCTCCCCTGCCCCCCAGCTCCCGTGCTGTCTTCAGAATGGGGGGGGAAGGAAGGGGAGGGAGCTTGGTTTGGGGTTGGCCTAGCTTGTTTTGGAGAGCAGGGCAGGTAATTTGGAGCCCTCCCTCATCTTGGGGTGCAGAGGGGTGTTCCAATCTACTGGCCCCGCTCTCCAGCACAGGCTAGGCAAACCCCAGACAGAACTCCCCCCCCCCCATTCTAAAGGCAGCACTCGGGTTTGGACTGGGCTATATCAGACCAGCCCTGCTCCTGGCACATGCTGACGGACATCAATGATGCTTCGCTTTGAAGCATCTTCATCTGAACCCTTACGTAATGAGAGTTCAAATAGTGGCACGATCAGGCATTTTTAAAGCACTCTTCAGCCGTGCTCTTCTGTCAGGGCACAGTTGTAGAGCACTGTCAAGGAGTCAATTATGCAACAAATGTAACTTCTGTCTGCACCCTAATAGTTGAGATACAACAAAGAATCTGTTGAGTTGGTTACCACAGAGTGTGACTGGGGGAAAAAATATTAGGAACAGTGAACAGTTAGTCAACAGGCTTCATGGGATACAACAATGATAAGGACAGAATCTTTTGTTAGGGTTTTTGTTCTAGACTACTAATTGCATCTTTTCCTCCCTGTGAAACCAGTTAATTGGAGTCTCCATTTCAGACAAGTAGCAAGCACAGAAATTCACCTCCCTAAAGCGATTATGGATGTTTTTGCCTTACCTTCCTATGACTAGCAATATCATGTATTAGATTTCTACTTTCTGAATACACAAGATATTATTCAACATGAGTGAAGACAGTCTAGTCAACAAAGAACCCTTTAGACTTCACTGAGGTTACTTGTGCAACAGGGGTATCAGAAATGGGTCCACAGCAACAATACCATATCAGGGCAGCCACCCAAAAAAGGATAGAAGGCAGGGAACCCTGATTGGAGAGCATTCCTATCAATGTCATGATTCTGGGATGCCCTTCAGATAAACTGGAGAGGTAGAAGCACTAGGAACCCAGTTGCAGATGCTATCAGGCAAGCCTGATTACACCACAAAGAAATTGTGCTAAATTTGATTTACTCTTGGACAAATATGCTACAACTCAGTTCACACAATGCACTGCATGGCCATGGTTAGAAATACATGTAAGCTATGTTGTGTGGGCACAAGGTGTAGTAGAACCAAACTGACACCAGCTTATAAACTGGGTAAAATATGTAGTATAGAGTATTATAGGTAAATGGAAGTTTTAGGTCAGAGGTGACAAACATCCAGCCTACAGCTTTTGCCTTGGCTCTATTTACAATGGGTGAAACCTGCAATGCTGGAGCCCCAACAGCAGCACAGCTTCTTCCTGCAGGAGCAGCCAAGCACACAGGCATGACCTGTGGCGCTGGAGCCACAGCGGAACTACTGGAAGAAGTCTGACACCATAGTTTGTTCCTGCGGCAGCAGGCAACCACCAGTGGTGTTGGGCTTCTTCTGTAATGTTGCTGGAGCTCCACCACTGCAGTTCTTATCAGCTTAGCTGCCAAGTACCCAGGAGACAGCAGTGGCACTGGAGCCCCAGCAGCCACAGGAAGAAGCCTGGCATGGCACCATGGTTTGTTCCCTTAGCAGCAGCCAAGTGCCCAGGATGCCGGGCCTCTTCTCACCAGGTTTTGGACCAGTTGGAACAGATACCACATGCACTGGATCCAGCATGAAGGTGAGGGTCTGTGGGCCAGATCTAGACTGGGGCCAGATTCATGCCATTCATCCAGCCTGTGAAACAGTCCTACACCACCCATCTGGCTAGCAGGGGGCCAGTTGAGTTTGACATCTCTGTTTTAAGTTACAGAGGAATATGATTTGAGGACCATTTTGTTGCACAGTCAGTATTAAGTGGAGATACAAAGACACCACTACTGGACTTTTTTAAAGGCCATTCCCTCTGGTATATTGTTTCAACAGAAGACAAACCTTATGATGACGCCAAGACGTAGATCAAAGTTTTTCTGCACAATGTCAAGCAGTTCTTCTTCTGATCTATCTGAAGTACCATAGTGGAACACTGAGATAGCTAAAGGATGGCTCAGACCAATAGCATAGGACAGCTGTAAAACATACCCATCAAGAGAAGTTAACACAGATTGGAATTTTTACACAGAGATCTATCTAGCTGCAGTCTTATTTGCAATACAGACATTTCCCCTTAAGACATTTGTTTTGATATTCCATTCCTGCATGCTCTTGCTACGTTTTGGCCTGGTTTCTGCCTCTCATCTAAAACATCTGCCACTCTTAGTAAGGTCCCTAGATACTATCATAATAAAGTGAAAATTCATTGTCCACAAACCAGGACTCTGAAGGGGATTTACAGTGGGTATAACTAGGTATATACCTTTTGTATACTTATGATGTATAAAAAAAGCAGGGAAGATTCACGCATCACGCTTATTGGCTCGACAGTGCTACGCTTACTAGCACCACAGCCGAAAGGGACTTGGGAGTCATGACTGATCACAAGATGAATATGAGCCACCATTGCGATGTCATAGCTGCTAAAGCAAGCAAAACTCTGGTTTGCATCCATAGATGCTTCTCTAACAAATCCCAGGATGTCATCCTCACACTGTACTCGGCCTTGGTGAGGCCGCAGCTGGAGTACTACATCCAATTCTGGGCTCCACAATTTAAAAAAGATGTGGAAAAGATTGAGAGACCCCAAAGGAGACCCACGTGCACAATCAGAGGGCAGGAGAACAGGCCCAGTGATGTGAGGCTGAGACCCATGGGACTCTTCATCCTGGAAAAGCGCAGGCTCAGGGGTGACCTAGTGGCTACCTATAAGTATATAAGGGGTGTACGTCAGGATCTCGGGGAAAGCCTATTCACCAGAGCGCCCCAAGGGATGACAAGGTCAAATGGTCACAAACTCCTCCAAGACCGTTTCAGGCTGGACATAAGGAAAACTTCTTTACTGTCCGAACCCCCAAGGCCTGGAATAGACTCCCTCCAGAGGTGGTACAAGCAAATACTCTGGACTCTTTTAAGAAACATTTGGACACTTTATCTTGCTGGGATCCTTTGACCCTAGCTGACTTCCTGCCCCTGGGGCAGGGGGCTGGACTCAATGATCTTCCGAGGCCCCTTCCAGCCCTAATGTCTATGAATCTATTAATTTTTTGTTTCTGCTTTTATTTTACATAACTCTTGATTACCCCGTTTTCTTTAAGTGAAATGCCATGCAATATTAAGAGAAATGCTTACGGTTCAGATTATTAGAATTCTTGCATGATTTTTTAATAAAATATATTTCTATATATAGAGAGAGAGAAAGTTATATACATATAAATCCTCTACCATAGGCTTTCCATCACACCTCTTAAACCAATCCAAGGGGGTTTTTTTACTGGAAACATTTTACTGACAACCAAAGTATACTTCTTTACTATACTTGGTTTTAAATCCCTAAATCTGAGCCCAGCCCTTCTAACTGGGGTCTTGCAAAATAGCTACATTTGCATTATGTAAAATATATATCAATAAAAATGTGTCAGTAAAAAAAGTGGTTGCTGGTAAAAAGTTTGCAGTTTGTGAGTAAAAAAAAAATGTCTTGGGTTGGCAATCTTGTATTCAGGCTATGCTGTTGTCCTCATTACCCATAAAGGAAGGCAATGAAAATGTATATCCACAGATTTCCAAGCCAACAAAAATTACCAGCAGACCCCTCTGCCCCTCCCCACACAGCCTGCATAATATTCCCCAGAAGCTTATTTAAAATGCATTTTTTTAAAAAGATACCTAATATTTAAAAAACTTCAAGTGATGATGTGCTACCTCCCTAGACAAGCAATTCAAATCTTTAATCACCCTCCCTAATAGAAAATTGCATTTTATTTCAAGGTTGAATTTATCTAACTTCAGCTTCCAACTGCCAGATCCTTTTATTGACAGTGAAAATCTCTCCAGAATCCAATCTGCATTGTGTAAACCCAGCAGTACAAAGTGATCAAATTGCCTTTCAACCTTCTCTTTCATGAGCTGAATAAATAAGACTTATAGGATAAAGCTTGTTTTTTACAATCCCTGGATAATTTGCATGGCCTTCCACAAACAGAGGTCAGCAACCTTTCACTAATAGCGAGTTGAACTAATGCAGCTTGATTCTAATGTGGGCCGGAGGCAGCAGTTATTAGATATTCTGCTACTGGGTGGCATATTCTCATGGAAAACGTACTAAGGGCCTCATCACAGGTTCATTTGTTATAGGTGCATGTGTTAGGTTGGTGTCACACATTCACTGGCAACAGTTATGAATCAGTGGGATGTAGTGACCTATTAAAGGTAGGATGCCTTAAGGAGATAATCCTTACCTGAAAGGGAACAACACTGCAACACTAAGAGGGCACTTAGCACATGCTAAACTCCTTGAATATGTTGCTGCTTGAGTTTTAACTGCACTTTGTAAGTATTAAGCTGTATGAGTGACACCATCCAAAAAGCAGGCTATATAAAGGGTTTTTTTGGCAAACTTGGCGGACTGGAGAAAATCTCTGTGCGCCAGATTTGGTCTGTGGGTCATAGATTGCTGAACTCTGCTCCTTAGCATTATGGGCCACTGCAATGAAATCTTATCATATAAAAATTATTTAGAAGTTAAGATCAGAAAATCAAAAATTAAGAAATGGCAGAATTATTGCTCCCTATACAACCTAAAATCAACTCCTTTGCATTACATTCCAGCTTTAAATTACATGATCACACATTATTTTTCCCTAC